TTGTGATCTTTGCTTTCCACTTTTTCTTTCCCCTTGTAATTATATTGAGGCCCTGAGTCTATCTTAGAAAATATTAGAAGGGAGAAAGAGAATTCCAAACAATAGATCCATGGGAGTCACTGGCATCAAAGGTAAGGGCCAGGAAAGAAGGGCCAGGGAAGGAAGCTAGCCTACTTTAGTCCCTGTATTAGTGTTCTATTGCTAACACAACAAATTACCAGACATTTAGTGGCATAAAACAACACAAAATTACTGTCTTATGGTGCCGAGGTCAGAAGTCTGACCCAGAACTCATCGGGCTAATGTCAGGTATGCAGAACTTCATTCCTTTCTGGAGGCTCTAGAGGTGCATCCGTTCCCTTGCTCATTCAGGTTATTGGCACAATTCAGTCTCTGCAGTTGTAGCCCTGAGGTTTTGTTTCCTTGCTGGCTGTCAGCCTTTGCCTGACTGAAAAACCCTCAACCCTTTAATGGCATATTATATAAGACCATTGACAATTTGATCCCAATTTAGATTTCCAGATTCGTGTCTTGCCTCTCTTCCTCATACTTCCCATTCCCCAGCAAGGAGGTTGTATAAAACACCCTTCCTTTTCCCCTCCACTGGGTGGTAAGAGACATCACAACAGTGACACCTCCTGATTGTCTCCTGTCTCTTCCCACCATTTCCTGTCTGTTTTTGCAACATTTTTTCCCTCTCTTTGTAGATACTTGTTTATATATATCCCTCACCTACTGGACTATAAACTTTTGTAGAGTAGAGACCATGTCCTATTTTTCTTTATGCCTCCAATTCCTAGCACAGTGACATAAAGATAATAGTTGCCCCAGAAATACATGTCAAATGCATGAGTGAATGCCAGGTTTATGAATGTAGTAGAAAAAATAGGATGTGCAGTTTATGCCTGCCCTAACCTTACAGTTAACTATACTGACTTCACAGTGAGAGTAGACCATGATGTTTACCATAAAAATCAAATCAGTAATTAAATATAATTGTGACTATCACAATAAAGAAGAAATATCAAATTTTCCTCATGAAACTTTTTTATGTTCCAATAACTCTTGATGCTTTAAGAACTCTCTTTTAGGAAGCTCATAAATCCCATTCAGACTAAACACTGACAGAAAGAAGCAGGGGAAAACAGCAAGAGAGGCAGAGAGATCCTCCTTCTACCTTCAGGAGCCTTCCAGTTATGTGTGCCAGGAAGTGACATATATCTTCCCTCTTTTTACAGAAGTATGAAAAGATATCTGTCCTTCATTTTGAGTGTCTCCAATTGATCCAAGTGTTTCTGCAGAGGAGGGGGGGAAGCTTGTGTGCAGCACCTCAGGGTGCCAGTCCACACCTCTATACCTCAACCAGGGCTGCAGATCATTAGCCAGAATAAAGGGTGTCCATATTCACAATTGGTGGGCCTCCCATACTCTTCTTAAAGAAAAGGGCACAGGGAAACAATATGTTGCTCCCTAGAGGCTCTTAAGGTCATTTTCAATTCAAGAAGTTAATGGAAATACTACTTATTTTTCTGGGTTAAGACCATGGACCACCCAGTCTCATCCAGAAGCTCTGACACATGGGTGCTCCCCTGACCAAGAGTCCAGGCAAGGAGGCCCTGCTGCCTCATGAAAACTCATGCTTTTTCATGAGTCAGGCTTGTTTTAAATCCAATCTCTACTCCTTAGTAACTTAGTGATCATCAGCAAATTGCTTAACCTTGCTGAGTCCCAAATGCTTTATGTGTAAAATGGAAATGTTAATGTCTACCTCCTAGGGTTGCTTGGAGACCAACCTGGGATAATATAGGCCACATGTACTACATGGGGCCAGACACAGAGCTGGTGGTGAGGACATTAGTTGGTTCTTCTCTTTCTACCTTTTCCTGGAACATGAAGGAAATGGTTGACCAGGAGTGATATAGTTGAAGAGTTAAATTCAGAAAAAAATCTGAATGCTTTTCTTCCAAAAGATACATGGTTCATGAGCATTCAGTAGCCAGGACATCTACAAACCCATTAATTTCTTCTTGTTTTTTCAATGGTAGATAGAGGTTCAGTTTATCTGTATTTCAGCTAGCATTTTGATCAGTTTGAACAAAATTCTTATGGAGAAGTTGGAACAGTGTGGTCTGGATGATGGTATGGTTTGGTGTATTAAGTTATTAAATGAATTTACTTAAACTTGAAAAAAGGCTTATAAAGAAAACCCATTGATTTCTAATGTATAACTTCTACATAGTCATTTGGAGGATTTCTACATGTTATATGCATCTACTGTAAGTAGGAGATAAAGAGATTTCCTCCTCAGCCCCTAACATATATTTTGAAATACAGTAAAACTTTGGATTGCTAGTAACTTGTTCTGAGAGTGTTCCACAAGACAAGCAAACATTTCTAATAAATTTTAACTTGATAAATGAGTGATGCCTTGCAATATGAGTAGTATGTGACATCGAACATCACATGATCACAACTGAGCCAAAGGTTCTTCTCTCTCTCTCTCTCTCTCTCTCTCTCTCTCTTCTCTCCCTCCTTCCCTCCCTCCCTCTGTGGGACTGTGGGTGATTGCTTCTCATGCTCAGAAGCTCGGTTTCAGGCCATGGTGTTTGGCAGAAATCAATGATTTTTCAGAATATTGGAAGGTGCCCACAACCGACACTAATGTATTTTTTGTCACCTGAGAGCACCTGTGGACAGTCCTTTGCTTTTCCATACATGAGTAAGCTTAGGAATGCTTTGCTTCTTTCTAGGCAGACTGCCTGCCAATATAGACCCTTTCCTCCTGCTGCCTTATTGCCAGTTACATTAAATACAGTATATGACAAGAATTTATTAATATTGTACTATAGTCAATATCCATACAAGCATATAGAATGTCCCCCATGCAGAAAAAGGTTGAGAAGAAAGGCGATAAGAAGATTACAGTGGAAGAAGGAAATCATCGAGAAGTATAAACAAGGTATACAAGTGGCTGAAATTGCAAGATTTTATAAGAAGTCTACATCTGCATCTTGTCTGCAGAGGAGGAGAAAAAGGCAGAGGAATCACTCACTTGAAATGAGATTAGGGCGATGTGTAAAATGTGGGAAACAGTGCAAAATTTTGTAGAAAACACCACCTGAATAAGGCTGTAGCAGTGCGAGCGATAAATCTGTTTAACGACAATGCAATGTCACATTTCTGTGAAATCTTCAAAAGGAGTAAAAAACAAGTGTTATTGGATAGGTTCCTTGTTAAATTTATACAAAAAGAAAGAGATTCCATTGATCCAGTAGATAGCAGTGATTCCATTAGTGATAGTGAAAGATGTCCTACGCAATAACCCTCCTCTCTCTTGTCTCCCTCACATCAGCCATGAAGGTTTTCAAAGATAAGTGCAAGTTATTTTATTTTTATTTTTCTTTATACTTTGTGTTTTCTCTATTATGTTTTATTATATTACAGTATTGTAATCATTTTTATATGAATATTTTTGGGTCGTGGAATGAATCATCAGAGTTTCTGTTATTTCTTATGGAGAAGTTCACTTTGATATACAAGTGCTTTGGATTACGTGCATGATTCCAGAACAAATTATGCTTGCAAACCAAGTTTTTACTGTATTTAAGACCCTTTACTGAGCACTTACTATGTATCAACTTGGACAGGAATCAAAAGACTTATAGGTGAGCTAATGGAGGTCTGTAGAGAAGTCTCCTTTTGCCTCTTGCTTGCATGGTTACTTAGAAGTCAGATATAACTCTTATCTTTGCTCCTCTTATAGGTAAAGTGTTTTATTCCCCTGACTTCTTTGAAGAAATTTTTCTTTATTTTATATATTCTGTAGTTTGAATATAATGTGTAGTTTTTTGACAGTCACTTACTTGGTGTTCTTTAAACTTCCTGGATTGGTGGCTTGGTGTCTAGTATCAATTTTGGGAAATTCTTAATCATTATTGCTTCAAGTATTTATTTGGTTCCTTTCTTCTTTTTCTGGTTTTCCCATTACATGAATGTTACTCTTTTTCTAACTGTCCCACAGTTTTTGAATTTTCTCTTCCCTTTTTCCCAGTTTTTTTTTTTTTCTCTTTTTACCTTTCAGTTTTGGAGGTTTGTATTGATAGATCCTCAAGCTCAGATTTTTTTTCTCAGCCATGTCCCATCTACTGATGTGTCCATCAAAGGCATTCTTCATTTATGTTAGTCTTTTTTTTTATCACTAGCATTTCTTTTTTATTTTTTCTTGGAATTTTCATCTCTCTGTTTACATTACCCATCGTTCTTGCATGTTGGCTACTTTTTCCATTAGATTCACTAGCATATTAAGCATAGTGGTTTTAAATTTATGGTCTGAAGATTCCTACATCCCTGCCATATCTAGGTCTGTTTCTGATACTTGCCCTTGTTTCTTGCCTTTTAGTATGCCTGGTAACATTTGGTTGAAAGCAAGAAATGTTCTTAGTAAAAGAAACTTAGGCCTTTTATAACATGGTGGCATGGTGTGAAAGAAGAAGAGCATTCTACAGACACACCTTGTTTTATTGCACTTCGTTTTACTTCACTATGCAGACATTTCATTTTTTACAAACTGAGGTTAGTGGCAACCTTGTATTGAGCAAAACTATTGGCACAAATTTTCCAACAGCATTTGCTCATTTTGGAATTCCTGCAATTCTTTCAATATTTCAAACTCTTTCATCATTATATTTGTTATGGTGCTCTGTGATCAATAATTTTTGATATCATTATTTTAGTTGTTTGGGGTGCCACAAACTACACCCATATATGATGGCAAACTTAATAAGTATTATGTGTATTTTGACTGCTCTACTAACTGGCTGTTTCCCTGTCTCTCCCCATCTCCTTGGGCCTCCTGTTCCCTGGGACACAGCAATACTGAAATTAGGCCAATTAATAACCCTACCATGACTTCTAAGTGTTCAAGTGAGAGGAAGAGTCACATATCTCTCACT